CTATTGCTGAGCTCAGGCGAACACCGGCTAGATGAGACGTGTCAAACGTACGACCCACGGACCGTGTGAGAATCTATGCAAGCAAACATGCCGCTTGAAAAAGGATGATGTTATATATATATATATATATATATATATATATATATATATATATATATATATAATCCATGGTGCTGTCCGTTCTTCTATATGGCAGTGAAACGTGGACGATGTACCGGCGGGATGTGCGATATCTCGAGCGGTTCCATCAACAATGTTTACGACGGATTCTGCGCGTCGGTTGGTGCGACAGAGTTGTGGACACGGAAGTGTTGCGCCGAAGTGGAATCTATGCAGTTGACTGCATACTTTTGCTGAGACACCTGAGGTCGTTCGGTCATGTGAGGTGTATGGATTCTACGCGGATACCGAAACAACTATTATTTGATCAACTGAGTATGGGGAAGCAGCATGTGGGGGAACCGAAGCTTTGTTAGCGGGACACGGTCAAAATGAGCCTCTCACCTTCTAATCTTGATTGCTTATCATGGGAATCGAAGCCCGTTGCTCGACTTGCATGGCGCGATCTGATCATGAAGGCAGTTGCCGAAGTGCGGGTGAAAAACCTCATGCATTCAGAGAAGAAGCGGCAAGCACCGATGGGTTGTATTCCATCGACATCGAGCGCATGGTGCTGTAGCACATGCGGTCGCGAGTGCCTCAGTCAGGCAGGCCTAGTGAGCCATGAGCGAGGCCACTCTGGACTACCACCGAAGCGATAACGGGTCCTGCAAAGAGCGTAAGCAGAACCGGCACATCATTTGTAGGTACGCTGCATTCGATTTACTAACCGGTTGCTTACATGCTAAGTCTCTTTATTTCAGGTGGTGGGTTTGCCATATTGTCTCATTATTGCCGACGTAAACTACCTTCTGTTAACTTTCACACGTCACTCAAGTTAATTGTAGTTAACTTCGATAACATTTTCGCGTTTGCTGCATTTGAAAATCAATCTCGGATGTCTTGAAACTATAGCGAATATTTTGGCAACCAAGCTATTTTATACACTCATTTAGTGACGAGTTATGTCACCGTATTTTATGCATTAATCGATTTACTTTGTTTCATCTTGTCATTTCAAGTGATTGGTTGTTGCTTGCTATACCCGGTGCGGCTGCGCTTGATGTGCATGTTGACAAGGTGCCTACCTATCTATTACCCACTACCTCGTCCATACTGGCTCCAGGAGACAGTTGGTCGTTGCTGGAGAGGACAGGGTGCACGGTCCTTGTGGCCGTGTTAGGCTCGAAGAGTGGTTCCATGCATCCAGTGTGGAGCGGAATACGGTCCAGCCATCGCCCTTTGTGCGACTGATTCCCCAAATACAGCGTGGTTGTGTTTGCCTGTGAAGGAGTGTAGACCGGCTCCGTTGATGAGAGGTGGCTCCCATCCACATGCCTCCCGGTCTTATTCCTTCGGGTTTACACTGAATATGGGGTGTGTGTTTGGAGCTGTGGGTGGTGCAGCGCAAGCCACCCATGGTCCCTCTGTAGGCGGGGGTGTCCTGTGGCTGGCCATAGTGACAGGCAAATCTTAAACCGGATGCCGCCAACCACATATATATACTACAATTGGTAGTCAGCTGCGACCTTCATAACAACGAACTCGACCCACGCGGCTTTTAATTGTTCCTCACTTAGACGTACTAGATCAGGATAGCAGTAGAGAAGTTTCTGCGGGAGTTCTGGTTCCTTCACTTGCGGCTTTCAAATAGCATGAGGAAACTTCTCTGTAACCAACGACTTCAAGCAACAAATGGTCTGCAAAATCAAAAATTTAGCTTAAATCTCACACTTTATTAATTTATACAAAGTTTATTTCGTCAAAACTTACTCTACTGGATGCCGCCGAATGCAGGGGCTGGTGGAACACCTGAAAACCACCAACTAGCTTGGTCCATCGACCAAACGAAAACTTGTCGCTAGCAATTCAAACTTCAACAATGCAATTATTTTGCTCACCTAAGTTTACAGTTGAATAACGGAACGAAATAAACTGACCCATCGAATAAGTAGGGTAGTTTTACCAACACCTGACCAGTAAAGTATTCGGCACGCTGTAGATAGAACTAAGCAACTAATCTGACGGTATCTGATTCTAATGCACTTTCTGTGAATTCTGAATTCTCTTTGGCATGCGTGTTTCCTCTCCGCCGCAGCAAAGCATGACATATGCTTAGGGAATATACCGTCTGAGTCAGTAGACAGCTTCCTGAGTTTTAATAATATTTTGTTGAAAATGTTCAAAGGAACTTACAAAAGTAATGGAAACTACTCTCGTTATCAAGTACAACTTTTTGGGATTCAGTAGAATCCCGAACATTTTGTCGAAAAATCGAAGTGCACTACTCAAAATATTATTACCAAATCACAAAAGGGTATACAAATCTAACTAAGAATTAGCTGGAAGTGACCGCCTATGGTTTGTCTAAGCATAAACCACCTACCTTTTATGACGAAGAACTGCGACACTGCGATCGTTCATATAGGTCAACCAGGTGTAACTCCGGCACTTTATTACTTTGAATCCTACAATTTTGGAATGAACACGAAAAGTCACAGAATGGAATTTCTCCTGTTTACACGTTAGCTTCCTAAAATGCGCTAGCGATCGCGATCAACATCGTCAGGATCAAAGAAAACATGGTGGCTTAAGAAAAGCTGGGCTAAATGGATCGTATTGGAGTACGTTAACAAGGTTGTAGTTCAGCACACTCGAGCTATGGAATCGATCAGGTGCACTCCTGCAACTGACAACAACGGATCGGTCAACTAGCGAGCCGGAGTAACACCTCGCAGAGGCATTTTGGCACACAAATCGGAATTAATGTGCTTCGGTTCAACATAGTGTTTTCGCTTAACGCGTTCACTTATGGAGTTTGGTCATTTGGATAATGAAACAAGTTAAGTTTAGACGATTTGAAAAATTAACGCGACGCCTGAAGCCGGCAGGTGATGGGCCAGTGCTGGATGACACGGATGGACAGCCCCTAACCTCCAGCACTGAGCGTGCGTCCGCGTTTGTGGCGCACTTCGCTTCTGTATTTGCGAATAACCAGGTGTCTGTTCCGAGTTCGACGTGTACAGCTTTAACCGAACTCGATAGTCTGCATTGCGGCGTTGAAGAGGTAGCTCAACTACTCGCCAACCTTGACGGCACCAAACCTGCCGGACCTGATGGGCTTCACCCACTGGTTCTCAAGTCAACTCAACCATCCAATCTCCTGTCGTGACTGACCATTTCAACAGGTCGTTGTCCGAAGGTTTGTTGTCGGTTGACTGGAAATGTTCGGTGGTGAACCCTATTCCGAAAGGCGGCGACCCTAGCAAAGTAGACAATTACATGCCAATTTGTCTGACACCTTTATTGGCAAAGGTTGCTGAGAAAATTGTGAAGAAGGGATTGCTGCCGTTGCTACAGTCAAACGAGGTCCTGATGCCCGCACAGCACGGTTTTATGCAAGGAAGGTCATGCATTACGAACCTGCTTGTGACGACGCATGAGTGGTTGAAGGCAATTAACAAAGGGAAATCCGTCGACGTGATATTCATCGATTTCAGTAAAGCGTTCGACAAGGTCAGTCATGAGGTTCTCCTTCACAAACTCAGCATGTGTGGCGTCGGTGGCTCACTGCACCGGTGGATCCGCGACTTTCTTGTTGGACAAAAGTAGAGGGTACAAGTCAACGACCATCTAACTGACTGGTACCCCTCTACAAATAGCATGCCTCAACGCACTGTACTGGGGCCCACTCTGTTCCTGATCCACATCAATGATCTACCGCAGCTTCTCCGGTCGCCGTGTGCCTTGTTTGCGGACGACATGAAGATTTGGAGACGACTTGACGCTCCCGATGACTGTGGCCTACTTCAGCAAGACCTCAACCACCTATCCACATGGTCTGCAGAAGTTCTTCTCCCGGTCAACCCAGCCAAGTCTGTATTTATGAGCCTGGGAAAGGGTGCTAACGGCCCAACCTACACCCTTGATGGCCAAACGCTATATCCCACACCCTCCGTGAAAGACCTAGGTATACTCTCACGCTACGATTTGAAGTTCTTGGACAACACGAACAGGCTATGTCGTAACGGACTGCGCATGCTTTGGGCGCTCAAACGTAGCTTCGGCACATGGTCTGAAGAGGTTGCCACTCGCCTGTTCTCTTCTATCATTAGACCAATGCTAGAGTAAGGTTTGCCCGCCTACTTTCCGATTACCCGAGGCGAGGCACAAAAGATCGAACGGGTCCAACACGTTGCTAGCAGGCTCATCCCGAGTTTACGTGGCTTGGGGTATGAAGACCAGTGCGAGAAACTAGGATTCTACACCTTGTCCTACCGTCGGGTGCAAGTCGACCTCATTATGACCTACCGTATTCTACATCTCTGTGACTTCCCAGTGCTAAAGCCAATGCTACACTTAGGAGGACCATGCAGCACACGCGGACACAGATACAAACTTGTCGTGTCGGATGTGAAATGTGTTCCCCACCCATTGTGCCTCGAACGGAGTGTGGTAAATATTTGGAACAGTTTACCTGAACATATGATTGAGGCAACATCTGTGCAACAGTTCAAAACGTTATTAGATTTGTATTTTGCCACTATTCGATTCAGAGAACGACTGCACACTTACGATGACATATCACATTTGTGAATCCTGAAATATCGTAATTCAGATATTTTAAATATTACATGAGAACGACAACGATATTCACGGTTGACAACTTTTATAACGTTTTTCACCATATTTCGAACGAGTTGTGCAGAATCCATTTCTACTTGCTCTATAATACCGTATTCAGTATTCAGCATGGCTGGTGAGATATAAAAGGAGAACAACGACACCTGCATAGAATTCCGTAGATTACTTAGCTTCGGATCTAATTCCTGAGGTCCACCATAAAAAGCAATCGAACATGGATAATAAAATGTTTTTTGCTTTTTGTTTCACTACTTTAGCCACAAAATGAGTTTGAGCGTGAGTTGAAACCACGCCCGCTTGCCTTGCATTCCTTACTCTGTGTGGTCCTTGTAACATCCAAAGCTTTTCGCCTTCTAACACATCGATTATGCACCTGCCTATCGTCACACACTGTGTGCACCTTTAATTCATGTGGTGAAACGTCATTGTTGAACTAGTTATCTCCCCCATCTTACCCGTCCCAACGTTTGTTTTCATTTCTGTGCCCACCAAGTCTTCCTTCCGTCATTCAACGTCCTTCATGAATCAGGGCCGTCATTCAGTGATGGCTCATTCCACTGGGACACCAAACATCACGAGTTCCAGTGAAACCCAACCATCAGAGTCCGCGTCCAAGGTTCCAGGGTTCAAGGAGTTCGAAATTGAGTTCGGTAAGTCACCTGCACGTGTTCCAGCTGCACAGTTTAAAGAGGGTGAACGACGACGTTTTCTGCAACACCTACACCGTTTTATCGTGTTAAACCTGTTTTGGCATCCCGGTTTATTAGGCCAATCTGAACTTTGACTAATACATATAGCTGGTGTTGCACCGTCTGCATACCGGTAGAATATTTTAGATCACCTTTTCAATGCGCAAAGAGGTATGCAGGTGCAATGATCATACGTCCTGACTTTTATAAAGGTTCATAAGAGGAAAACACAATTCTTCTGCGTGTTTATTGCAACGACTAGATCAGAAGCAACCGATGGTGATGGGAAGTTCCACTTCGATAAATGGTATATTTTGTGCACGTTCGTCGCAGTTAGACACAGGCAGACAGCCACTACACATCCAGGAAAGCGCTAGACGGCCGTTTCGTCCTATTGGGACTCGCCAGTAGCGCGCACCTGCCGAATCCTGCCGGATTCGAACCCATGACTTTACGCTTGCGAGTCAGCAACTTACGTCACTGAGCCATGGGCGACGGCAGCATACCCCTATGGGTACGAATCCGGCAGGATTCGGCGGGTGCGCGCTACTGATGAGTCCCAATAGGACGAAACGGCCGTCTAGCGCTTTCCTGGATGTGTGGTGACTGTCTGCCTGTGTATAACTGCGACGAACATACACAAAGCCTAATAAATCCCCCTACAACTTACAAATATTCAGCAGGCACATTAGCAGCTTACATGCTACCTCGATTGGTGGCATATTGGTGGTATATTTCTCGACATTGCGAGATACAGACCGAATACGTGGCGTGAACATATTCTACAACGTAATCACATGGTGAAGAAAATTATCTAGGTGTAACGGTGTTTCCTCTAAACTATTGAGATTTTGTTATTGATTAAAACTAGTGCAAATAAGAGCTGATGATATGAATATTTGTAAGGATTATCATCAGTTCAAGTAAATACGGCCATCCGTCGAACCGTCCCCTGGGGACCTGCTTCTGTGCGACGTAATCCCTCGTGAGGTTGCATCCGCACTTCCACGTCTCCTATGGCTATGTGCCGTTGGGCTTTAACGCAGATAACCTTCACTAGCTTGACTCGTTTAACTTATATTATTTAATTTATTTGTTTAATTCTTTATTGTTTTTTGGTCGCAAATGGCTCTCATCACCTTGGCACTACATTTTTGCCACCATTACAAGCAAATAGGCCATCAGCAAGTTGACTTTGATTATCTCTGTCGTGTGCATTTTTGCTGTCATGGTTTAATCAATATTTTCTTTCGACAGTTGTATATTTCGAGGCTATCCCGACACAGCCCATTCTCTCCTGCAGCCATTATGAGTCCAGCACACTTAAACTGCGCCAGGGATTATGTGGCAATTCGCCTTGCGTGGATGTACTAGAGAGGTATGAAGTTTCAGTCTGTCACCTCAGGATATCCGCCCAGAAGTAGGCAACAGTGATAAAGAAGAAAAGCAAAGAGAAAAAGTAGTGCTGGGAAGAAAGAACGGTAACGATAAAGGAGCGACAGACGGTGGTTAAATTTAGGATCTACATATTCATTTAATGGAGAGTTCTCAGAGGAATAGTGCAATGGCTCTGACAGGTGTAGATGATCAAAAAGGAAAGCTTAGCTGCGCAACTTCATTCTACAATGCTGTGACAGTGACTGTAGTCCATGTCTGTAATTGCAGGCTCATTAGCAGAACAGTGACGATGGTTAAAACAGTCAGTTCCCTTCAGCAGTTTGAGTAACCCTCTGAGAAGACGAACAATGGTAGATACGCACAGTTCGTCTCATCGGTTACAGTCTGTGCAGGGGACCGAGTGACCCTCGCGGTATCCTTAGCCCATGCGCGACTGGTGGTGGTTGTATTGCAGCAAAGCGTCGGTATTGAGTACCGGCGTACTGTTGATGCCATCAACATCAACACCATAAAAGTAATCATATATATATATATATATACTATTCAAGGGGTGTCACAGAACCAATCAGATCAACCGGCAGCGATTGTCTTAGGACCAGTGTGACCGAAGGTCAGCAACTGGTCTTAACTGACTAATCGGCACGGCCTCGGTGAACGGCAGAAACGCGAATTTGGATGGCGAAAAATACTCTGAAACCTGGAGCCGGGGTCAATCCGAAGTATGCCTGCCCAGTGATGACGCCGGTGGTTTACGTGTTCACAGAATATATGGCGAGGGTTGGTTGACCTCACCATGGACCCAATTTGACAGATGCTGCTTCACTATGGAATGCAAAGCCCTGCCGGTTATGCCTATGTAAATTCCTCTGTAGTCACACCCATCTGGCAAATAGTGTGAGTTGGCGCCGATGGATTCCTTCTTTCTGCCGTCCTTCCTTTCGTTTGCTTCCGTCACTACTTCATTATTCCCTTATTAAAGGTAGCGATATTCGTTGGGTTCTATTGATCACTAGTTTCCACGGCCCTGGGGGTTCTTTGAATGGCAGAGATTTAGCACTTGGTTGTCCTCCTTGAGCCAGCGTTATCTTTAACTTGGAGCTCGAGCTATACTTTTTTGAGTGCGCTCAGCACGCAATAATAATGGTACTATTTCACACCGTAAAACACAAGTTTTCTGTGGGTCAGTGTCTTCTCATGGAGCCATCCAACATCTGGGAAATTTTTACGGCGTGCCTGTATGAATGCCAAAATTGAACTGAGACATTATTTGATGGATATATTCTGGCATACTAATGTTAAATGCGTGTAAATTGTATTACCTTTGGGTTTAGATGCATTTTCTTGTCTCATTCTGTAGCCATTGTCAAAAGACAAAATAGTAACCTCGCAATCAACTAATGCGTCCGTTGGTTTTGACTTTCTTCGGTGCACTGATAAGCTCCCGCCCACAGATTTACCGCTTATTCCAAGCTGAGACGGAATGAGTTTTAACATTGCATAAATCTGATCTTTCGTTCACCAGGTCCCCGCTCCGATAAGCTAGTTATTGGTAATTAAATTTGGTACCTAGATGAATTGAAACCGGATCAAAGAAAATATTGATTTCGGCTAATGTAATCAAGGAGACTTTTATCAACGCCGAGTGTTTCGATGTTCCGTACGGCCGCCGCAGCCAGTTAAATGTGTGGAACACATCACAGCAGATTATATAGTTGGTCTATTTCCGCACTAAAGAACTGTATGGCAAAACATCCAGTCAGAGTGGATAGTACTAGCTCTGTTTGAGAAATGCTTTGCACTACAATGTGACTGATGCGTGGGTGAAGTGGTTGACACATGTTTCAAGCCAAATACTTACATTAAAAATAATTCACTAATTAAGGTAGCATTCCAATACGTATTTGTAATACATAGCGCAGTGTTTTGCTACTCCTTGCTAAGAACCCACCACGTTGTTGACCTGCTGGTAGATTTGCCCCAGTCGTCACGTTTCACCACCCTTCGTGATGCACCATAATGCCCTCAATCATAGTGCGGCCATATGGAGCAAACTATTAGAGTTCCGTAAAGACATCTACAACACAAGGGCCGCAATCTCAACTAGTAACTTGTTAACCCCATTCTGAAAGGGTTACGTCTACCTCAGAGAATAATGGGTGTACTTCCTGGCTCTCGACATTCCGACGTCCATTGTCCAGTCAGTAGCATCTTCAGTCTTTACCAGTGCACATCAGTGCTTTGTGCCAGAAATCCTTGGAAAGCACAATTAGAAGACGAAGTTCGGCAGACGCATGCATTTCGTATCGTCTCATCAGTGCCGATAACGATAAGCGGTAATTTTATATAACAGTTTGTGGCTACGAACATACATACAAACAAACGAGAGAAAAAGGGGTGTCTTTATTCTACAACCAGGGCAGCCTGAGGTTGACCGATAATTGTTTTTGAACACAAAGCACTGGCTTAATCCGATTAATTGCAATTACCTCGACAAACCGGAGGAGCCGGGAATTAGTATGGCGAAGCAGGATTCTAAACGCCTTGTTGACCTCAGTTCGGTGACCCGATGTCAATAAGTGCCCGCCGATCGACGATGCTGGCCACCTGCGTACACATGTAGTCTGAGTTGGGCTTGCTTGTTGAATAAGTCCGCACTGAACCCATTTTGGTACATGCTCCTTTATTCGGGAACTCAGTGTTCTATTGGTTCTGCCTATTTAACCGTCCCCGCAGTTGCATACGAATTGATATACGCATTGGGAGTTGGCGCCAATAGGCTGAGTTTCCTCTAGTGGAGGCAAAGGTAGCTTATGAGTTCGGTCCATGATTACAGCTGCAGCAGCACAGAAAGTGCTCTTTGTGGCGGAAATTAGACCTCTTCTGGTCCTCAAAGAGGCAATGGCACCTTTAAAGGGCAGTTCCAAGAATACCTTTTTAGGCGCAGTAGGTACAGCAAGTAAAGCGAAATCCTTGGCTCTAAATTTGTGGCGACACACCAAAGGGCTATAATTCAAAGGGCACAGTTAAATAGTACAACACAAACTAACACAAGCTCTATAACTTTCCCAATTGAACTTTCCGGTAACATACCATCAATCATTCCTCGCACAAACGTAGCATCGAATCAGGAATGAGTTTTGTAACGTTACCTTTCTTTACAGGCACAGTAGTCATATGCACAGCATTTGCCTTTCTGTTCTTGTGAGTCCCTGCTCTAAGCAAGAATATGTAACACATGCCATGGCAGCTACGAAAATTTGATCTTCTTTGTCAAACACTACTGAAAACGAAGTAACGGACATAGCTCTGTTGTCGCTAAATCTCCTCTTTTTCCTTAGTTAACTTCTGTTTTTCTGCATAACATCTTCGACTGCACTATATCTGTCGCCCAACTTCCGCCAACATTGAGATTTGGTTATGCTTAATGTAATGTCTAGGCAAGTCAATGCATAACATTCACACACATTCGTTCAGCCGTCCGTGTCCGCACTTAAAATTCCCAGATGCTGTTTAACGCGTGATCAGTCAACGTCCTATATATAGGACCGCTATAAATAGAGGTT